AATTTACTTATTTTATAGATAAAATATGTATATACTTCTCTATTTCTTAAATTATCAATTTTTTTATATAAAGATAAAATTGATAGTTTAAAAAATATAGTAGGATAAAAGATAAATCGATCTATAAAAGTATGTGATCTTGATATTTATATATAAGACCATTGGATTATATGTCTTCTTTGAGGCAATACAATATTTCTAAATTGTATTGTTTAAGTTTGATAAAATGTAAAAGTATTTCATGTAAGCAGTAAACTCAAGTTTACCAATCATATATAAAAGATCTAGTTGTTTTATGAAAACAATAAATTAAATTTATATATAAAAAGTCCACTAAAATGATATTATTTTCGATATAACATATGGAAAATACACCTTCTATAGTTTTATCGTCGAGAAAGAAATGAAGCATAAGATCATATTCTCAATTGGTTTCCAATACTTCTAAGCACAACGCCAGCAGTATTTTCGAGTTGCCTCTTTAAGAGCACGCCTCGCAAAGAATTGCGTCATGAGCGGATTATTATCGTCCTCGTAAACGCGAATCCGTTGTGGCTGTGATTTATTTTTTATGTTTTTTGCTGTTATCTTTGAACATTAACGAGTTTCATTAATTCGGCGATGCGATATTACGTTCTAAACAAGATCTGCCATTTAGATGATGAAAAGCAACAGTAATCCAATGGACCAAACAAAAAAATAGATTTTTTGCAAGAATCTCTTTTATAAGAAGCGTTTGAAAAAAGCAAAAAATGGTTTAATTGGCTAAAATATATATTTACTAAGATAATTTTTTTGATATATCTAAAATGTTTGAGAGAAAACTTTCTGTTACTGTATTAATATATTAAAATTATACAAATATATTATCATGTTTAATATTGCATATCATAAATTTTCGTCGTTTCCTAATTTTTAATTAAGGTATTTATATAAAAGAACAATAATCAGACTAAATCATTCTAACTATAAATTACGTTTTGATAAATTTAATACTAAAATGCAATTACATTTAGAAGCCAATTAATTTGTTATATTTATTATGACTCACATTATTAGACTAAATTAAATTAAATCGTAAATCGTAAGTTATTATTATTTGCTTTACAAAATGATACTTCTTTCTTCAAAAAAATGTTATAAATTTATTGTTTCGTTTTAACAAGACATTTAACTGTGAAATCTATTTAATATTAAATCTATTTAATATTTAAAAATCTATTTAATATTTAATATTAAACTATTTGACTAATTTAGTATGCATTTTACTATTATAAATATGTGCATTAAACCACATTTTTTGTTCTATTTAATTGTTCAGAAAAATTTTACATTCTTATTCTTTTATTTTAGCAAGACGTCCAACTATAAAATTTATTTAATAAAACTGTGTGACCGATTTAGTATATTTTTAGTATTTATTTATAAATATATCTTTGTGTGTATGTTAAGTCGCGTTTTTAATCTATTCAATCACGCAAAAATTCAAAAATTTTGTAATTGTACAACTATGAGAAAAATTGAAAAAAACAAATATAACAGACAATATGTACTTGTACGTTTCAATCTTCTATCTTTTTCGCTTCTTCAAGATCTTAGCAAAAAACTTCTTAGAAATTTTACAAGCTTCTTCGTCCTTCGCAAGGATAGCCAACTAAAATCCCGACCAATCTGTAAGTCGTTGACCCTGATGGCAGTCGCTCTCGCTCTCGCCAATTTACTCTCGCTGTCGATTCACTCATTCCCATCGACAAGGACTATCTCGGGGGTGGAAAGAATACTCGTCGGTCTCACGATTCTCAATAAAGAATTCTGAACTTGATCGCGAAAAACAGCGAAAAAAGAGACAAAAAAAGTGGTAAAGTATGAAGCATTACGGGGTAAACATTTCTTTTAAATTTTTAGATTTTACGAACCAGAAATTGCTTTATCTCAGATATATTTTCTACATCCACACGATGTGTATAATTTTGTTATTAGCAAGTACACAAAAATGGAAAAGAGATGCATTAAAGATAATTATTCTCAAAAATTTTAACTGAAATATTTATCTGTAACTATAAATCGATCTATTGCGGATTGATATATTGCTTGAAAAACACATTTTTTCTCTTCAAAGAATCTCCTTTTTATCACAATATAATATATCTTACATATTTTGAATACTCTCTTAATTAATCGTACTTCATAATATTTCTCTTTGAACATTTTAGAGACTTATCTGAATTTTGATACGGTCAGTGTATATATCTACTTTTTTATCCGTTTATCATCCATGGAGATTTTTTGATGAAAAGAAATTATGTTTTCCGGGTAACATATAAAATGACAAACATTTTTGTTATTTTAGTTTCAAAAAATCAAATTATGTCGTCAAAATAAAAATTTATGCGATAATATGTTTTATTTTATTTTTAAGAAGATATCCGGAAATTAATTTATTTAAACGGTGATGTAAAGTACTGTTGTCGCGCATTTTTATATTCAGATTTTTCAAGATATCACAATTTATCACAGGTTTTATCATGTTATCAAGTAGGCATTTCAATTTGATGTAACCCCTGCATACAAATCTCTCTCCTAAATTTTCTTTTTCCCCTCGATGTCCTAAGCGATAATAACAGAAACAGCCTATGTATATCCTAAGGCGAATCTAGATATATTTACTCCCTCACTCAGAAGGGAATTCCAAGACGGTTGCAGAAATCTCTTCGGCATTCAGAACGAGAAAGAAGAAAAATCCTGCGAAAGGCACGTCTTAAACGATACTCCCACGCGTATAAGTCATCGCCGTTGGCTAGCGATATTTAATGCGCATCCGTCATCCCGTCGTAGCTACGGTGAGATTAATAACTGCTTTTTCTCGCGTGCTCGTGGTGCGGCGCCCGTTTGTCTCCGTAAGCCGAGTCGTTACTTACTTCCATAATAAAATATATTCACCGCGGTTGATGAGCGCGTGTATCGATGAGACCCGTAAAAATTAATTGAAGACTCGGTTCTCTAAAGAAAGGCCGTCTAAGCGAGTCCGTTTAAAAGCCTGATGTCGCTATTAAAACACGTTTTAACCACCATCGAGTGTTTGTTTAATACCTATGGACGGCTGTATTAATTAACATCTTAATGAGAAGAATCGCGTGCGCAGGCCAGCGAAAAAAAATTTATTTTCTTTCGCAAAAAAAGATTATGATTTTATTAATACGCTTTTCAGAAAATTATCAAAATATATATGTGCGAAGAAATATATATGTACTTCCCTAAGAATTAAGATATGTGCAATCGAAATATTTACAAACTAAAATTTAAAGCGAGTATAATTATGTAATTTAAAATATCTTTTATCCGCTTTGACTAAATATGACTTTCTTCACTTATCTATGTTAAAATATTTTTGTAGTTTAAAATATCTTTTATTTAAAAAAGATCCTCTGTACAACTTAATAATAGTTTACATAGGTTTACATAAACTATTGTTACGCGTGGACCTGCGATGCTGCTTCAAAATTCAAGCAGATGCAAGAGGCGTCCATGACTTTATCCCAGAATCAGACGTGATTTATCGATGGGATTTCACCATTGCGATAGACGTGCTAAGCATGTCGTGGTAAGAATGAGGGGAAAAAGGAAGAACGAAGTATAAGAGTAGAAGCGTCGTATTCATTAGCACGAGATGCGTTTCTCGAGAATTCTTTAGATACCGTGACTATCATAAATCATTTGAAAAGCGGAATGATAACGCATAAACTTTATTGGCTCTGACTGGTCGAGTATCTAGGGTATGGCAATAACTTATTTGAAAGATACAAGGGTATATTGCGAGTCGCATAAAAAAATATATGAAGTTGTTAGACGTTTAATCCATTTACATAGGCAGAAAATGTACCGTACGAAAATTATAGCCCACTCACTCATAGTGACAAAGGAGATGAAATGCAAATGAAATTAAAAAGAAGAGAAAAAAAATACAAACATATATACATATCAAGAGAAAAAAATTAGGTCTGAATATTTCACTCTAAAAATGGTTTCAGTTAAGTGTAAAATGCATTCCGAGGTATTTATTTTCATATTTTATTCCCAAAAATTTATGATCAAACGACATCCAAAAACAGAAAGTCAATCGATGCGGAGAACAAACTTTTCGTCATATCACTCATTGTGACTTATCCCCCGATCGTAAAGTATGGAGTTCAGTTATGGAGAAGATTCGTCGAATTCTAATGCTAGGCAATACGCAGTAACCACGTAATCTGCAAAGCAAATTCGTTTTACTATCTATGTGTCGCCCGGAAATCCGCAAAGAAAATGTATCAAACCATTTGCAAACGTCATTGCACAAATCGCGAATTAATCTCATTTCTCACCAGACGTCGTTCAACGTTCATTAAACAAACACGCAAGAACGGATGGCTTTTATCGACTTTAAATTCATAAACAAAAGAAATAAAATGAAATAAATAGTAGCATATAAACGATAAAGAAAAGTGGGAAAGAATAACATGCCAGACGAAATAAGAAATGGGCGCCAGTTAAAGTATCCTGTTATCTACAACGCGCGTAACGAAGATCAAAACCTTTTTGGAATAACCACGCATTTGATTTGACTTTTTTATTACAGGCTAAATTGCGAGCGATATACACGAAAGTTATATATCCTTCGTAACCGTCGATCAACGACACGCCGCTGGCGTTCTTGCAAAAAGTTAATAACATCTCCGTGAGGAGACTTCTTACATCGTACAGACATTTTACCGCGAAATTAATTCACATTGTATGTGGATAAATACATAGACGGTATCCATATTCCCGTAACGATAAGAATCTGGAATGTTGCATTATTAGATAGTACTGGACAAGAGAATGTACGGAACATAATTATAGTTACCACCCCATCTTTCCGTAATCATACTCTTTGAGCTGTTTTATCTGGAAGTGTCATCTATGTGTTTGTACGATTAAGTAAAATTTGTGGAATGTCCACACGATTTTCTTCCGTTTTATAGGATGGCTGGGGGCAATGTCGACGGGTGTCGCCCTGCTCGTGTCGCCGATTACAATAGCGTTTTGCCGAAAAAAAAGTACGAGAGTAACAGCAGTCTTGGGCGGTCTCGTTACCGCCCTCGGTTGCCTTTTCACTTCCTTCGCCTCGCAATTTCATCAATTGTTCTTCAGCTACGGCACCGTCGTTGGTAAGTAAAAATTGCAAACAGAAAACAAAGGACTATTTGCAGTAACATAATTATAAGCATAATTATAAACATAATTATAACATAATTATAAACTCGTAACTAGGAATTATTCTTGTAAACAACGCAAGAATATTGAGATTTTTAAAAAAATGAAACAACTGTACCAAAAGTGAAAATATTTTTTTTGTATTTCAGAGAGGAAGCGTCGTGTTAGATTCGTGATGTTGGCACGCCATATTTTCAGTTTTGATTTTTTTTGTATGAAAAATGCGGAACTTTTTTTATTTTGATAAAGAAAACTATAAAAAGTGCTACTGGCACTATTTTTTTTATATTAATAAAACAATGTGCTAATTTTACAATCTAAATTTATGTGAATCTATGAAATTAACACGATATTCTATTAATATAAAAAAATAATGACAGTTCCAATAGCACTCTCTGTTTTTATAGTTCCTTGTAAAAATAAAAAAAGAGTTCCACATTTGTTATGTTGAAAAAACCAAAATTGAAAGAGAAAAAGTAGCAGCCAGAACTCTGTTTAAAAATAATCGTAGAGCATAGAATTTTTCTAGAACTAAAATTCTAGAAAAATATTGAAATTCCGATAAATTAACGGCACGACACTTTTTTTCAAGTGTCATGATGTCTTATACATTTAAAGTCTATTAAAATTAGTACCTAATTGTTGGAATTTTGTTTTCAAATTACATATATTGCTACAACTCAAGCAATACTAACGGGTATTCAATTAACAATAAATTATATATATATATATAATGATATCATAACAAACTATGACAATATCTTGATATTTGCAAGAGAAAAATATGTCGCCACATTGTTAAATGTTTGGTTATACGATATTATTATTTAGTAAGTGCGTCATCTTTGTTTTCGCCTAAATCTATATTCGTTACTAATATTAGTCTATTAGTTCTATCCATTTCCACCCTAACTTTCCCTCTTATGCAAAACTTTGCAAGAACGATTACAAGCATCAATTTCTGAAGTGTAGAACAGTCGGCGAAAGGAAAGATATTGTTATCTCCAATCCTATGAACAAACTACGGATATTTACAACGATTTGAGTCATCGGTATATTTTTTTCCATAGGGATTGGGGTTGGAATGACACGAGACTGTAGTACGCTGATGGTAGCTCAGTATTTCAAGAGGAAGAGAGAATTGGTTGAAATTTTTATCGTCTCAGGAAGCGGCTTAGGTATAGCAGTTATGTCTGCTTTTATAAAAGGAGCAATCACGTACGTACATATTACGTAAACACAATTACAATTACATAAATTGTAATAAATATTACCAAAAACTTATTTCAATGTACTCAATTATTGTTTTACAAATACGCATCCATATAAAATTTCCTTTTATCTAAAAATATTGTGATTAATCGCAGAATATTAATTAATGTGTATTAAAATTAATACGTAAATTCTGCGATTAATCACAATACTTTTGGTCATTGAAAGAAACCAGTTAAAGTTCATACAAGAATTTTTTATTACAGTAAAATCGGATGGCGACTTGGCCTTCAAGCTGTCACGGGGGTAGTCTTTCTCACTTTTATTCTCGGCACTTTTTACCGTAGCGCTTCACTGTATCATCCTCAACGAAGAGCAATTTTACACTTGAAAAATCAAAAACGCAAGATAAAGGACAAAAACAAGGCCACCGATAAACCACCGTTTTTCGATTTTAGCACTTTAAAAAGTAAAACGGTGCGGATTCTTTTGGTGTCTACCAGTATTTCGGCATTCGGAATTAATACGCCGATATTTTATCTGGTAACTATGACGAGTGAATTTGGAAGTATAAGTGACGCCATATGTATTCTATCTACATTTTACGTTTTTTTATTTAATCAACAATTCATGCGAAACAAATTTTCTATCATTTCCATACTATTGACGCAAAGAGTATTTTAAAGTCTTCAAACATTAGTAGCAACCCAGTAAAGCAGGAAACATTTTGAAACATTTCAGTAACTTTGTAACAATGTTATAACGTTGCTACAACGTTGCTGAAATGTTTCAAAATGTTTCTTGCTTACTGGGGAAATTACATCAAAATTGAATGTGGACTTGGATCTCCTAAATATTATTTAAAAATAAAATACTGTTTTCTTCTGTAACAGTTATTTTTAACTGTCTAAAAGCAATATGTAATTATTACACGGTTACTTAAAATAAGAAAAATTCATAATTTACTGTAATTGTAGTACAAATTAATACATACACTGACTTGTTTTCTCGACCTTAATCACAAAAAACGATAAATATTAAAATTCGCTGCACATATATTGCATAAATGATTTTTTACGCAGGCACATCAAGCGGAAGAAGAAGGTCTTGGTGATACTGTCGTCCTACTACAGGCTTATCTCGGGTTAGCTTGGACTCTTGGTTGCGTAGCTTTTGGACTTCTAGTCGTTCATCGCAACGTTGAATGCAGGATAGCCCGCCAATATCTTACACAAGCAGCAGTCTTTGTGTGCGGACTTTGCATTCTCGCTCTTACTGCCGTTCAAGGAAATTATCACGGATACGTTATGTTCGCGTGGATTTACGGTAAAGTCTCATTCATTACTATTTTATTGAATAATATACATATAAAAAGATAATTTCTAGATATAGAGATAATTTCTGGATTTGGACATACTTTGTCTTTTTTTCTGAAGTAACAAAATTTATGATTTAACGTCGAAACTCCTAAAGTTACCATAGCAAAAGAGAAGTAATAGGGCTCTAGTGACAAGCAATCTGCCTTTTCTTTTCTGCCTCTCGCAATAAAAGGTTTTAAGAGCACATTACGTAATAAAAAAATACTGATTTTTCTATAGGCATCTTCTGCGGTGGCTATCATTACAGTCTGAAGATGTATACATACGAAAGAGTAAGAGCGCGAAACTTTGCTAGAACATGGGGTTTTGTTCAATGCTCTCAAGCGATACCAATTGCAATCGGAGTACCAATATCAGGTAAAAAAAGTCTAATATAGTAATATTTATTTTAATTTATATCTTAACGAGTATAATTAGTCTGAAAAATTTGTAGTGAGTAATTTATATTGTCTCATTCGATCGATACTGCCTCATTTTAATGAATAATAAAGTGTTTCACTTCTAACGAAATTTTTAAAAAATTTAAAAAAACGATTCTTTGAAATATCAGCATTCAATTCTATTCCTTAATGAGCATCCTGAAACATCAAGCAGTTTCACACTGCATCATAATGCAGAGTGAGGAAAAATATATTTTGCAGGATACATAAATGTGGGTTGTGGTGGTAAGGCTGGCTATTACTTCAGCTCAACATGTGTTCTGGTTGGCAGTTTTACACTCTTCTTCATTGATTTGCATAGAAGAAATTTGTCAAGACATAAACACACCAGAGCTAATGGTAAAAAACATATATGCTCCTCGGACAGTTGTCCTCAACGACGAAGATTGTCGTTCAGTCAAGAACCTAAAAACGAGGGAACTCACGTAGCCGCTGCTGGAGCAGCCGGAACGACGGCTGCAGCACTCATTCTAGGGGCCGATATTGCTCCAGCACAAGGTATATTTTTTCTTTTATATTCTTTTTCCAATTTTTATAATGAATAAAAAGAAAAGAAAAACTGAGAGAGAGAGAGAGAGAGAGAGAGTACATAGAAAAAAATTCTTTTTAAATATTATTTTATTGTTTATAATAATTAGAGTCCGACCGAAACTTTTTTTGCCGAAACTGAACCGAAACACTCGGCTTCATACCAATTTCAACCGATACCGAAACCAAAATTTAAAAAATAGGAATCCTATAAAGGCCATATGTATAGACATGCCTATATATCATACATTTTTTCTTCATAAGTATCATAATTTATATTGAAACAATAATTAAATTTGAGCCGAAATCGAAAACCGAAATTTCGGTTGTGTGTCAATTTTGGCCAAAGAATATAAGTACTTCTTCTTCATAAACATCACAATTTAATTATTGAAAAACGATTATTACACATATTAAAATTAATATTTATGAAGAAGAGCTATATGGTTTCAGTCGAAACTGATACGTAATGAGTGTTCGTTTTTAACTTCGGTAAAAGTTTTGATCGGACTCTAATAATAATGTGTTTTATCTTATTTGTAATAACATATTTTACTCCTCAGTCTTATCAATACAACATTGCGATGATATTATTACAATATTTGTAATATTACTGCAGTATTCCAGGAACACTGCAATTATAGACATAGTATATCTAGATCAAACGTCTAGTTATTTGAGGAGTTAAGCTCACATAGAAAACAACTCACTCAATTTTGTGGTTGTGCATTCTCTCTCATTCACAAAGATACAATATTCGTGATGAATATGCTATATATATTATCATATTGGAATAATCATGCTGTATGAGTATATAATCTCAAACTCTAATCGTTACGCTATTACTTTTGATTCTACTTTTTGTACTATTTCTTGAAGTATTTATCATTGATTCTTATATCAATAATAATTCAAGTAAAAAAAATAACTTCACTAAATCTTTGATTCTTTCTTATTATTCATATACCTACTTATACAATACATTCAATCTTTCAAATAGCTAAATTGATATTTTTATTTTCGTTTGTACACACAAATGAGACATATTGTAAAATGCAAAATAAAATTTTGCGTAGTAGTGATATTATAAATGCACAGAATACTAAATATAGTTGTTTTACTATCCTAGGTGAAGGGATAGACGCTTTAGGAATAGATAAACCGGAACTCACGTGTATCTCGGAGGAAGGTATCGCTGACATGGATTTACCTGATAATTTACTGGAGGATTTCGATTACATAGGCGATTGTTTAACTTCGTGCAACAAGGTCGAGAACTACCTTATGCTCTCGGAATTCGAGAACAATCTGATTGCTGAAATGCCAATTATTATGGATCGTTGTGGACGCAGATGGTCCCTGGGCCGATCCAAGACAAATCAATCCAATTGTGGTCAGATTAGTGGCGTTCCATCAACAACTAATGAGCAAGATGTCAAATCGAAATGGCGTTTCATGAATGTACCACCTAATACTAACACCAGAACGATTACTGTTATTGACGAAGCTAGTACATAATTCCGAGCACGGATAATGAAACATTAATCCTACCCTTATGAAAAAATGCTACTGAATTCGCAAAAAAAAAAACGATTGAAAATAATTAAAAAACTATTCAAATACAATATTCAGTACTATTCGTTCCAATTTCTCACTTATCCCATAGTTTTATCAGTAACATGACAGTAAATAAGAGAGATTAGAAAAATAACTATATATGTGTGAATGAAGAATGTAAAGATATAATACGCAAAACACACGAAACTTGTAGCATATTTTCAATATAATTTTTTTAAATACAATATAAAATTAAAATTCAATACGATCATATAATAAAAAAATGTGCATTACACAGAAAATTTAAAAACTTAAAAATATTTTAACTTATATAAAACATTACAATTCTAAACAATGTGGAACAAAAATGTACCTTGTTGAATGCACTACCAGGAACAATTAAAGAAAATCCATTCTCATTTATTAAATTTTTATAAATGTCGGACGTTTAAAAGACAGCTAGACATTTTCTGACATTCAAAAAAAATGAAGACTAAAAATATTTTATATCAAATTTATTAAATCAGAATTTTTAACCGCTGTTTGTTATTAGAACGTACACATCTTCTATTGAACTTTCAAAATAATAAAAAAGAAATATTATGAAAAGATAAAAAAGGATCAGTGGAATATGAAATACTGACTGAGTTATTCCGGCCATATATATAATATATTAATATTTAATTGTAAATTATTAAAGTGTCCTCAATTGTTCATCCGTCATTTATTTAAATATACATAGAAGTTATATTAGTTATAAAGAACAGACAATGATATGCTAATTTGTGTAACTTAATACAGTGAGAACGTAATCCGATAACACGGGTCATTTGATTCGCAATGTAATTAAGGACAATAACATCAGCTTTCGACAAAAAAAACCACGGAAACCGTCCAACAAAAAAACAACCTTTGATTCGCGTCAATGTATCTTTTTAAATTTCCTATTAATTGTCCGAAATAAAAAATAATCTGTCATGAATGAAATAGTACATGAATGAAATAGTAAGCTCTTTGTATGAATATAGCGATTTACAATGATTGTTATCGATTGATAAGGCAGATGAAAATACAATCGTAGTGGGCATAATATTGTCCTCCTAAATCAATTTGAATAATTAATTTGATTATTTGATATTCTCTTCAGTTTGTTGACTTTTTGTCTAATTTTTTACGTATTTATCTGTATTTATATTTCTATAAAAATTGATTCTATCTAATTTAATTTCCCGATTTATTAAGTAAAATTCAATAAAATAATATAAAGAATATATTTTATCAGATATTTTATATGAGAACATTTGATCTTAATCGTTGTGTGTTTATAAACGATCGAAATATGTATCTTTGACTACGATTGTACAGCTAAATAAGCGCAAACTGTGCAAATGTATGAAAAGATTGTATGTAGACACGTTAGTTTAAGTTTTGGGAACTAGTCCGATCGCATTTGAAATATAATGCGTCGTGAAAATATAAAAATACAAAGTGCATATATACGTAAATATTATTATTCACGGCGTTCTCTTTTTTGGAATTTGATTCACATAATAAAATGAACGATGGATTCTAGATATAATAACGCGCATCTATTAAATTATTTATCAAACTATTTATACTAGTATGTAAATACTCGATACTCATGCCATGTATATACACTGAATTTTAAGTGTATCTATATTTTAAATTAAATGATTAAATGCCGATGATTAAATATATAATAATCATCGGCACAGATTAGTATGATGTCTATAAAAATCGTGTCTTTTATTGATTGATATGCAAAAAAGCAAAATTATGTTTTTATTGAAATAAAATATAACTTCATCGAATAAATATTGTTTATATTAATTAAACAATAAGAATAAGACAAAATATAAATTTCGTAAATATTCACGAATATTAATAATTTAATTAATGAAAACGAATATTTAAGCAATAAAATAATAAATATTTAAGATACGCTTATTTATGAATATACTTGTTTTTAGAATTATTTACAAAAAGAATGGTTTTGCTAAAGTATCTAAAAATTTAATCAAATACAGATTTGAAAAAATAACTTTTTTAGACTATCAAAATAATTATGTGGAACTTAAAGAGTGTGGGAAATGTATATAGCGCACATACACACACACATACAGTGATGGGAGAAAGTTCGGCAA